CCCTCTACCATCCTCTATTTGCTGAATTGGTTTCACTGGCCATCTGGGATAGAGTGGATTTTGAGGAAAACTGGAATGGAATGTTTGATATTTGAAATCTTCTTTGAATATCTGGGTTGTACTAATGTTCCTGACTCTATATTTCATGCCCACCAGTCTTTTTTCTGCCATCTGCAGTTACTTATTAGCACGCCGCTGGAAGCTTTTGATGTAATAGCTGCCTGATCCCTCACTAATACAACCTCTTCCATTAGCTTTGGAATCTTCATGTTCAAGGGCATTGGTTCACAGTACTGAGGCCTTCCTAGTTTTCCTTATCTCACTTTCTGAACATTATTCTGATTTATTCAAATTGATATAGAGTATATACACAACTTCACTTTGGGACCACAAACAGAAATAAAAATAATTTCTTATTCAAATATCTTACAAATTGTCAATTGTCTACGAAATAAGCTTATTTAGGCCCAATATTCTAGTTCACGAAACTCTGTTGATTTTCCTTCAGTCATACCCTCTTCCTTCTTCCAGGTGGTGTTCAATTCTTGTTGCAAAAAGTATAAACACTTTTTTTATTTTTATTTTCAGATAATTTTCTGTCATAATTCCTTTGCTCATTTCCTCTTTTTATTGCCTTGGTGGTCTAGACCTAACTCTTACAAAGCAGTTTACCCAATTAATATTACAGGTTAAAATTTGAATATATGTGTGGGAATTGTGACAATCTGTAATGTTTTCTGGTTCAATGACCTCTTTTTGATAAATTGTTGTTACATTTACAGTTATTTTTACAGTACCGCTTTGTGGGGATAGCTCTATTCCTTAGCTAGTGTTAAAATATCTTAACTAACTAATCAATCACATCCCTCATCTCTGATTTAGCTTCATCACCCTGTTCTCCTCCCCACTGATAGCTGATGTGTGGTGTGTTCTGGTGCACTATGGCTGCTGTTGCATCATCCAGCTGGGGCTGCACGTTTGGTGATGGTGTAGGGGAGTCCCCATTACCTGTAAAACACTTTGAGTGCCCAGAAAAATGCTATATAAGTGTAAGGAATTACAGTATTATTTACGAATAATAATCTCCTTCGGTATGCCTGGCAATTTCCACTACATCTTGGCATTTTGTTAGTTTTTAGCCATCCTACAGTAACTCTGTAGATTTTCAGTCAGTTATATTAAAATTTCAAAATACTACTGGAGTTACTTCTAATTCTATTGGACATGCTATGACTGGAAAAAAGTATAATATTTATTTATCATGTTTATTACAGTGCAGAGAAAAAGGTTTTGAAGACCACAATTTCTTAAAACACCATCATTTTTAAAAGTCATAAAAGGTTTTAATAAAAGATGAATATAACTTGAATACATGAATTACACAAAGACATAAGATTAAGACTTTAAGAATTTAGGCCCATTCTTCCTTATATTTCAGGGGGTTACTTGCATGAACAGTCTGCCATAACATTTTAGTTTAAGTCTGAACTTTGACTTGGCAAATCCAAAAGACAAAATTTATTTTTCTGTCATTCTGTTGTAGATCTGTTTGTATGTATGGTTTAATTGTCTTGCATGATCCACTTTTGACTCAGCTGATGAATGGATGGCCTGACAGTCTCTTCCTGTACTGGCTGATACAATGCTGAATTCATAGTTCTGTCAATTATGGCAAAATGTCAGAGTGCTCAGGCAGGAAAGCAGCCCCTAAACACATTCTATTGGAAGGCAGTGTTTGTTTTCCCATGTAATAATTTACGCAACATGTTCTCATACAACAATTTAAAGAACTTTTCACTTGTGTGCACAGAGAACATTCTTCCAATAGTCTTATGGATCGTTTATGTGTTCTTTGACAAACATGAAATGGGGTGCAGTCTGCTTCTTAGAAAGCAATGTGTTCTTCCCTGCCATCCCCACATGAAAACCATTCTTGTTCAGTCTTTAACACATTGTTCCAGCATGAACACTGACATTAGTGACAGTGAAAGAGGCCTGCAGATCCTCTGTGTTTACTCTGGAGCAATTTGTAATTTCAAGAATGATTTTCCAGGTTGTTCTTGGGGGAATGACCAGTCCTGGGTAGTGTCACTCTGGTTTTGAATATTTTCCATTTACTTACTATCTGTATGACAGAGGATGGAAAGAGCACCAAATGTTAAGTAATGGGTTTGTAAACCTCTCCACACTGATGAGCATTGACTACTAAATTATTTGTTGTTTTTTTTGTCGTAATATTTGTGTTGCAAAAATGTAAAATTGGTAATAATCGATCCAATTATTTAAGTAAAAAAAGGTCTTGATTAATCACAAATATGGTAAGAAAATTCAGTTCCAATAATTACAGAATATATCGGAGGTTCACATTTTGTTAACATTAATCTCCTGTTATAAGGGGTTTTCATCCACTTTTTGGATTTTTGTACCCAAATAACTCTTTGCATAATTTATTTCCTCCACTGCTGTATTCTTTTTGGTCTTTACATTGGCTACACTAAAATGCTTTTAGTTGCACCCGTAGTTTGGTTAACTCTCATACTATTCTTATTTTGCTCTCTGTTGTACCACTCTCCTTCCATTTTTTTTCTCTAATTTCTCTATTGTACAATGTAAGCCATTGATGTTTGTTTAAGGGATGAGTTGTTTTACAGTTTAACATTATGTTTTTGAAGTATAATAATATAAATTTAAATTATTGTACTTCGTAGAGTACATTGATAATATGCATGGATGCGCTGTTATTAAGTGCTCTAAACATCATTTCAAAATCAATGCTGAATCTCAAAAGATAACCACTGAAATTAAAAATACACACTTCAGCTCCAGGCACCAAGTAGCAATGTTTTTTTGATGATTAGGCAGTGGAAGTACATAAAAAGTAAAGAAATGGATGTATCATTAACTTTTGTCTTGGCTTTCCTGTTCTAATTTGCTAAGTGATGTTTTGGAGTATGTAAAGAGTTTCTAGCTGAATGTAAAGAAATTAGGCTCAAGAGCAGATCACAGCTGCTCATGTTTCCACATGCAATGAATCTGGGAAAACTGGGCAGCTGTAATTGTGAATTCCTCTTCTGAACCTTTTCAGAAGACTAGCTATTGCACTTTCATGTTTTTACTGTTACCGTATGTACAGAACATATATATTTATTTTTTTGTAATTTTGTTAGGCAAGTAACGTATTGTCCTTAAATTGTGTAAGCTCCTTGTATGAACTATTAGAATTATCACAACACTATGTGTTGCTAGGATTTTAATGTTGCCTGACTTTTTTTTTTGTGTTTTAAAAATCTTGTCAATGACCTTCAATATAGAAATCAGACAACAAAGAGCAAAAATAATAAACACATCCATCCAGTAGATGGTGTATCCAAGTAACATATGCTGTATATTGAAACATTATATTTAAAATCAAAGTATACAGTACGTGAATGCTTTGTACTATATATAAAAACAACTAGGTAGGTCCCTTTTCATAAAGGCCCATAAGAAATGGAGGGCAAGGGCCACCATTGTTCTTAACCATCCAACACTGGAAGTGGAGATGATGTGGTCAGCATCACACTCCGGCCAGCCTATTACCTGCAGAAGATTAACCCCAGGACTAAGTTGGAAAGCAGGCTGAGTGGACCTGGGAGCTGTCTGGAAGGAATTAGAGCTAGCTACAGTATATCGCTTGCCCCTACCTGGGATTGAACCTGGGACCTTCCACTCAGGAAGCGAGACACACTTGCTGTCTGAGCTACCATGGCTCCATATGAAAATGACAACAGTTATTAATTATTATTATTAATAGTTATAATACATTTGCAGCCAGAATGTAAGTGTCAATTACTATTGTAAAACCAAAAAAACAAGTGAGAAAAAGGACTTCAGAAAAGTTTGTATTTTTTGTGCCAATAATGACCTGTATCCTATACTTCAAATTAAATAATTCTAAATATATCTTTTAAGAGGTCTTGTGCCCTATGGCCCCAGGCTCCAGATTGTTGTGATCCTCACCAGGTGTAAAGGCTTTGTGATAATTGATGGAAATAACAGTAGAGTTGCTTAAAAATGGGGAATGCCCTCGATAACATGCAGTTTAACAGCAAGGTCAATAAATGCCTCATGTATGGTGGCACAGTGAAGACTAGCATTATAAAGTTTAAAGGCAAACCACAGTATTAGTTGCCTTGTTGCAAGCAGACAAATAAGAGAGATGTGAACTCTGCGACACTTCCAATGTCTGAACAACAATAGTCCAGACTCCAGTCTAGTTTTCTAAAGCTTTGCTGACTTTTTTCTCCTTATACCATCAAGTGCTTTTTTGTGGTTTGTTTTCATTTTATACACCATGTTACTGAAAACAGAGAAACACAAATTGTATGGATTTATATTATTATTACAAGCCTTACTTCACCAATACCACACATTACAGAAATGGGAGTAACATACTGTAAGCTTATTTTTAAATAGTCATTAGCCTATGTACCTACAGTATTGCTTTTAGACATAAATACATGTATATTCCAGTTCATGTTTTGAGCAACTCAAGAAATGAAATTTTAGATTGGATTAGATCCAAATGCAAGCAATTGAATTACATTAAATTGAAAGTACAGTAAAGGAGGTGTAAGCACAGTTAAGAATATGTTGTCTTAATAAACATTTGGAGAAACTGGGTGGACTCAACCTATAGTTCTCAGCATAACTAGTATGCTGAGTACTGTGAAGTGGTGAAGGTACTGTGGCCAAGTTATCTACTGTTATCTACAGTAACTCTGCAAATTATAAGGTGGTCCTATTAAATCAGCCATCTCAAATCTGTAGTTAATGCCATGGTACAGAATATGGAACACACCAGAACAAATAAAAGTCATTCAACATGCACACATTGGATATATAGTTCATTAACCATGGGGAACAGCGAAAAGGTACATTCATTCTCATTCCCTTGTGTTCATATGAACTATCCTAACAGCTCTGACTCATCACAGAACATGGAGGAAAGCTTCTCTTACCCATAAATTCGATGCCCAAGTGGTCTGCTGCTCCGGCAGAGAAATGGGAAAAAAAAGAGAGAAAGACTGTTAGACAACAATCTACCGGCTAACATTTGCACACATTCTTAACACACAGAGGACACATCTCAAAGGGAGCAGTGCTTGAGTAGCAGGATTCTAGTTGTCACATGAGGAGTATAGGGAATGAATTAATTTAGAAAATAATTCTCCAAAGGGATTGCAAAAGGAAAAATAACAATATTATATTATGAATATTAGAAATGGTTCTAAATGCAAACCTGGAAGATTTTAAATTTATCCCAATTTTGGAAGCAAAACACCCACTTTAACAAATTCCTATTCCAAACAAATGTCTTCTAACAAGGGTTGACTAATAAACTACTGTATCTTTCCTTGAAATCTAACCACTTCAGATCATTTAGATTAATCAAGAATATCAATTCATGGACAAGGCTATATACAGAAAATGAAGCTGCCGCTATGAAATATTGTCACAGACCAGTAAGTGGATTTTTTCTTTTAATCTGGATATTCTACAATTTTAGTATGGCTATAGCCAAAATACATGAGCACATAAGAGAAGGGTTCTTTGTTTTTACTTATCAACAGCAACTGGAAAACACCCTATTAAGGGTAACTTTGTACATCAAGAGAATGAAAGTTTTGAAGGGAGATATTGTGTAAGTAGAACCAGACCTAGTGTGTTCGAGCTGCTAGGATAATCTCCCTCTTAAAAACTACTTTGCACTGATTGAAAAGAGTAAAAATGAGGAATCACACAACTATACAGTATGTGGCTTCCAATTTAGTGGCATAAGGGAAGCTAGGTTAAAAAATGCAAGGTGTATGTATCAAATATAAAACAAGAAAAAATTCAAACAATATTTATTCTAAACAGGATACATTCTTTCATTGGATTTTGATGATAGGGTTGGATAACAGACCCATTAGATGAAGGTACAGGTAGCAAGATGTGTGCTGTTTACTGTATGTTTCATACAGGAAATGATATTCTTGAATAAAACAAAGTAGCAGATCAGATTTGCACTGATAGAGGAGACACTAAAATACTGTGGCACTACTTTCAGAACTGTAAGAAAATCAGAGAAGAGACTACAAAGCAAAAAACTAAAGAAAAAATGTAATAAAATCTGATTGAAATATGATTGATATATGGGCTCAGCAGACTGATAATGTGTTTTCTACTGTACATGTACAGTATGTCTATACAAGGTTCTTCATATCACACAAGGTAAAGGTACAATATTGTACTATTTACAGTATGCAAGCTCAAACTGTGCATACTACACTATGTCCATATCAAGAGAGGTTTCATTTTTCAGTTACTTAGAGTTTGGTTTCCTTGGCACATCTTCATCTTTGGTTCTCAAACTGGCACCCATACAGTATATTGTGTGTGTGTTTGGGTGGTTGTGCACCATGTGATGGACTGGGGTGCTGTGGTCCAGAGAGCAGTCCTGCCTTGCACCCTTTGCCTGCCGAGTTAGCCTCTGTGGATAAAACCCTTACTGAGAATGGAAGGCTGGCTGGCTCTTCACCTTTGTTCGCTTGTCAGGTCTTTCTACACTGAAGGGTCAGAGAGAAACAGGAGCTGGAAAATGAGTCTAATGGGACTGAACATATTTCAGAGCAGGATAGATGGAAGAGTGTTTAAAAAAGTGTTTTGCTACTTTTGAACATGCAGTGTAGTCTAAGTGGACAGGATAGCATAGGTTAGCCTGAAGTACTTTTTTGAACTAATTACTTTTTTTTTTAAATGGTTGCTTCCAATTGCTTCCAAAAAATGAAAAAGATATACTGTAGGATCTTGATATGTGTGAATCTGTCATTCGTGCATTTGCTTATTTGCTATTTGTTCAGGGCAACAGGGTCTTGTATGGATGAAGAGCAGAGCAAAATGAAAATGAGCTGAAGGTTGTTAGCAGCAACTTTCAAATTAGCTGCCCAACATACTGGAATCGTGAGATAAATCTAGCTAGTGAGTGAGGCTCTCCCTCCCATCTGCCCAAGTACCCACTACCCAGCATCTGCATCTCAACATGGTCTTGTTTTTAAATTGTAATGAACACTCCAGGTACTGTGTCAGCAGTATGGAAGAAAGTTTGTGTTGTTTCTTTTAGTTAATCAATGTTATTAAAATTAATGTAAAGCCAATGCATTAGTACTTTGATTATCTTTTAAAGGAAGAGTAACCTGTCTTTTAACCATACATACTACTGTACATACAATATTGTAGTACAGTATATAGGTGGACTTGGTTATATCTGAATTTGGCTATTTGGAATGGTTCTCTGCACTGAACCCTCATGATTGTTGAGACCCTACTATACTGGATTAAAAAATGAATTCATTAGTACAACTGACTTTTAGGAGTGAAACGAGTTTCCTTGCTTAATTTTTTGCTCTGGATAATCTCTAGGTTCCACTGTTATGAGAGGTAACAATTGGCATGCCTTTCATGCTAGTAGGGGAATGCTTCATATAAAGTAATAAGCAAAAGTACTTGCAAAACAGATTCAGAAAGGGCACTAATATTTACTACTATTTACTATTTACTCTAAATTATTTTTTTAAAGCGCTTATCATTGGCTTTTGATAAGTCAACAAAGGCCAAGTGGAAAAATATGTGACCTACCTCTTTTGCTTGTTAAAAAGATAGATGCCGTGAAAGAATGACTGATTTTCAAAAACATAAAATAAATAAAATTCCACATGCAGCTTAGGTAAACTGTTGGCAATTTACCATTAGCAATTTTGAATAAGTGCAGCGTAAGTATTGGGTGAGAAACCACCCTAAATGGAGCTGTGCTCACCGTTTTTCCCCTCTACAGCGAACTCCTGCTTTCACATTGTCAAGTGACCCTTGGAGATCATGCAAGAAACAATGCATTAAAAGTATTAAAAGAGTAAAACTATGTAAAGCAAAACAGCATTTCTACTGAGAGGGATCGCGTAATGGTGTGTATCTAACAGGATAAGGAATTGTGGGAATGGGGTTATGTCGGTCTACTGTCACTGGATCTACAGTATAGCATAACAGTAGCTCATTAAAGCCTGCCTGTCTGTGTCTTCTCCTTGACACCATGCTGCACAGAACCACACCCTCTCTCTTCTGCTCATCTTAATCAGCTTTCCTCAAAAACATGCAGATGGATGACAGTCCACTTTTTTCTTCACACTCAGGCTATTTCTGTATTCCATTACACTGATGACAAGCACTATTAACAAGCAATCCTGTATTCTTACTTTTCCCATTTGTGAGATAAAGATCTAACACCTTATTTCAGAAGTCGATGTGCATAAATAAGAGTTACTCCTGGTGTTCCTTTGATTTTTCTTTTACATTCTTGCCAAAACTCAACTGTAGGACTAATTAAAAAATGTGAGTTCACAAGACAGAGGGAGTTCACATCCTTTAAAAGCTGACATTTATATTTCAAGCACAGTGCCTTTAATATGTGAGGCAAGCAGAAAATGATTATCTGTATAAATATAAATTATAAATTAAAAAATGGACAGCTTTAGGAAATCAGACATACTGCATATCTTAATGGAGTTCTATTAATGTTTTAGCCCTCAGTGTTGTTATGGAGCCAGTGTATCTATAACCCATGTTTTTAAACACTTTTACACTGTTCAAAAATAAAAGAAAAATTAATGCTTCAGTTATTTTTCATACATTGAGGAGATCTGGAAATTTAGACACATTAGCTCTAATGACATACAAATCAAACAAACCAGTGTACAATACTGCTTTGATGTTTTTACACAGATTAAATTAAACCTCTGGATCTGTACATATTAATTTGGATATAACAACTTGTTGTTATCTTCAGATTATCTAAGACTTTTTTCAGAAGGGATGCCTTATTGACATGTTGCAGGAGATTTTGATTGAATTGGGGTGCAACAGAAAAGAAAATACTGTAAACATCTTCCGAGGTTGATGAGTAATAAAACCTTTAAATAAAGAGTAATCATTAAGTATGTAGTGGTAATACATCCTTATTTGGAATCTAAGATTTTTTTTTCTCTTGAATTTAAAAGAAAAAAACATGTACAGTTCCCTATCTTGCGTTCGAGATATCTTTTCAGCACACAACCTACGCGGTTCAGTAAACTTTCCCGACAAGAACAGGCGACCTATCTTTAAAATGTCTCCTGTGAAATATTTGCCCGCAGCCTATCTTTCTGAGCTGTTTTCACATGGGGTGGTGACATGAGAACAGGATTAAAATAAAAACAAAAATGCCAGGAGAATATTAAAATATGAACTCTTGGTACCTGCAGCTGTGCAATTCTGAAGCATTGTTACTGTATGTTAGTCTACAGAAACAAAGTGTGAGAGAACTACTTTAAAAAACATTAAGTATCACATTTTGCAGTCTGATAAAATTGATTAATCTACTACATACTGAAGATATGAGTTATAACAGGGTGATTGACCTTAGCAAAAGACCTTTAGGCTCTGTCAATTAGATTGGGAACTTTTCTAAGGTTATACTATACTGTTTACATTGCATTACATTGCATGTTATGTATAGAGAAAGGAAATCATGGGAGGACTGGATTCAAGAATCAAAAACCTAGAAGGCATTGACAAAATATCTCCTTTACTGTATGTACCGTGCAGAGCGCACTTCCTAATTTTCATTCTTGCTCATCCTAAATTAAATGAGTTTATAACAGACATTTGAGAGGAAGGTAAGATCTTAATCTCACACACGGCTGCTCACCTACGTATAGTCTCACACCCAGGTCTTCTCTTTGTGTCTCACTCTTGCATCCCCCACTTTGGCATCTACAGTATACCCTTGCAGCTCCTCCCTAGCTTACTCCTCACAACATTGAGGGGGGTTTGGGAAGTCTATGTGAATGACTAGGCTGCCACATCCCCAGCCAGGTGAGTCACTCCAAACACTCCATATATTTGTGTACTTCTGTTGCATTCATTAAGAACAAACTAAGTTATCGAAAATAAAGTTGTACATTTATTTTGCATA